AACAAGTCCAGCCAGCCCTTGTACTGCTCTGGCCCTCAGTAGAAACTATAAACTCGTGAATTTGTACTATTACCTTTCCTAATTCTTCTGAATTTCAGTTTATTTTATGTTGAGCTGTAATTTATCAATATTATTGATTTGATGTTATTTAAACATTAATATCGTTCATAAGAGTAATTCATTCATTCACTATAATGTATATATAACTGTAGAGCCTGATGATGAATTTATCGAAAAGAGTACTCTTCGTTCTGTGTCCATTCTTTTGGAAGATACATTTAGTTAAATGTCTATATATTCGGGCCGGAAGCCTTACTGGTGTAAGCCGGAGGATTTGAATAACTACCCCTCCAGAAATTATTCAGCATTGTATGAAGAACCATAGAAAAACTAAGATTAGTAATAAATATGACGTAAATAACGGAAATAATGTGGAATTCAAAGCCTGTGTAGTACTACCGTATAAAGAAGGTATGTCAGATGCCTTACGTCAAAATCTCAATGAGACTGGAATTAGTCAGGGTGGCATTTAATCCAAGCAACCAACTCTCTCAGAGATGAACTTTGTTTGTCGGCTTAAGGACCCAATAGATTAACTTAACAATTATAATTTACCAAATACCATATACGGTGTGCCACCGACAATTATGCATCTCATCCAGCAGCTGTACAACAATGCTGCATGCCAAGTAATCCACAACAGGGAACTCACAGAATCCTTCGAAGTGAGGACAGGAGTAAGACAAGCTGGCTGCCTACTATCGCCAGTGATTAATTTCCTGATTGCAGTAGATTGGATAATGCGACAGACAGCCGGCAATGAGGAAACAGGCATAAAATGGACTCACACAAAATACTTGGAGGATCTGGACTTCACCGATGATATATGTCTGATTTCCCACAAACTGGAAGATATGCAAGTGAAAAGCAACAAGTTGGCACAAGAAGCATCAAAATAGGCCTTCAGGTGAACATAGAGAAAACGGAGGTAGGTGATGAAGATTCCTGGCCAACACCAACAGCCACAGCAACAACGACAGACAACAATCAGCATAAATGGGAGGAACCTGAAAGAAACAACCTCTTTTACCTACCTGGGAAGCATCGTCTCAAATACAGGCTGAACTGACGAGGATATCAAAGCAAGAATCGGAAAAGCAAGACTGTGTGGAGGTCAACACACAACACTCAGCACCAAAAATAAGATCCGGATTTTCAACTCAAATGTGAAGTCAGTCAGCGCTACTATACGGATCAGAGACTTGGCTAGCGCGTCATAAAAAGCATCTCAAACAAACTACACACCTTCATTAACAGTTGTCTTCGCTCAATACTCAAGATTAGATGGCCGGCCAGAAAAGATCAGCAACAGGGATCTCTGGGAGCGAACCAACCAGGAACCGATTGTGAAACAAATATGCAGAAGGAAATGGAGATGGATTGGTCATACTCTGAGGAAACCATCAAGTGACATCACTAGACAAGCCATTTCTCGAGTGGAAGCCGAAAGGGAAGCGGCGAGCTGGTCGTCAATGCAAGGGTGACTTGGAGGAGGTCATGTGAAGAGGAGATGAAAGCATGTGGGCAGTCATGGAGCCAGGTGAAAACTCTAGCAGAGAACCGAACGCAATGGAGACGTGGGTGGCTGAAGCCCTATATTCCTCTAGGAATTAAAGGAAACAATAATAATAATAATAAGCACCATAGATTTGATAGTGTGGAAAATTCCCATGAATTCAAAGTCAGTCTGAACGAAGAATATTCTTTTCAGTAATTTCTCCTCTTCAGGCTCTTACAATTATAAATATAATATATTTGTTATCTTTACAATAAAGGCCAGTTATGCGGTGGATACATTTTTAATGTAGAATTAAAGATTAGTTATAGAGTGTCAAAATAAATAGTCGTATTTGTGTTACAAATGTGCTAGGCTGAAATCGATTACAAAATATTTTAAAATGGGAGACAATTGTGGTGGTGATTAGTCATAATAGATTCGTAAAATGTGAGGTTGGAAAATTGACAAGTCAGTTCAAGGTTATAAAAGGTGTCAGGTGAGTGGCTAGTACAAAGTGGTCCCTGTTAAACAGGAGATAGTAAGACTGCAATGGGAGGTTCATAATGAAATAACGAATATGTGAAATGAAACAGGTGGAGGCATATATTGAGAAAAGAGATAATATCACTAATAATTAGTCCGGATAGTATAAACGAAAAATTCGGTAGTGTTGAGAGAATGTTTGCATGAAGGGCATAAATTATGACGAATAATAATAATAATTGTAATAATAAGCAAAGGAAAAAAAAAGCCAAGAGGGTTAAGGGGAAGGAGCACTCTTGGTGAGAAGAAGAATCATCAATCCAAGTTTGGCCACGGTAAGAATAGCGTCTGGACGTGTTCTTTTTGGATAGAAATTTCCGGTTTAGTCGATCTTATCGCGACAGCTTCAGCTATGTGTAGTAGACGTGAGCGAGCTGTACGTGATAACGACTTCGGAATTCGGTATATAACCCTGAAAGCTGTGTTGACATCGATATGATATCTAGTATCGACCAGGTGTGACAGGATCGTGCTTTTTATGCACTTAATTTCACCCATGCTGAACTAAGCTGGTAAATGTTCTCGAACCCGTAAACGAACCTGCCTAATCGTGCGCCCAATATAACTTGAACCACAGGAACAGTTGAAATGGTATATGCATGAAGAAGAGCTAAGGTTAGGTAAGGTATCCTTGAGTTGCTGAGTGAACATTGGATGGCTACTGAAGGATAGACGCAGACGTGCAGAGTAGAAAGTTTTCTTGATCGCCCTGGTTAAACGTTGCCATAGAATCTCCGCAGGAGTATCTCCCTTGAATTGTAGACGTAAAAACAGAGGCTTTTTCTCCACCGTTGCCAGTTCATGTTTACGACTATTGTAACCTATGTTGGCTTTAATGAACTTCTCTGGATATCCGTTCTCGCTTAGAATCCAGAACTATGCATACAAAAGAAAATTATCCAATCACTTCTACTCGCATGGTAACAACTCCGTTGATTTGACCCAACTCTTCTTTGTTTGTTTGATTTGACCTTACTTCTGTTTGTATGCTTATTTTTCTAACTTAAAATCCTAGTGTAATTCTGTATATTATTTTGTTTCCAAGCTCACCCTTTGAGTACAACTCATTCATCAAACTATTCATGCCATTGCGTAACTCTTATTTAACAATCATTTATGACAACTCATCACTTTTGTTACTACCCTCTTATATGAACATCCAATTCACCTGAACTTACTCCTCTTTAACAATCGTTTTTGACAACTCATCACTTTTGTTGCTATCCTCTTATCAACATCCAATTCATTTGAACTTGCTAACCGTATTTTGTTTGACAAATTTAATGTATACACACACACAAAATAACCATATATATTTGCGATTGTACAGCTTTGAAAATGAATTCGCCGAAAAGAGACTCTTTGCTGAACTACTTGTCTTTTATCTACTAATCTCGCTTAGAATGTCTCGGATGACCTGGAGTTCTTTCTCTACGCAGTCTTCGGAACAAATGGAAATGCTAAGCACCTGATCAGATTACGTTTGTATTTCATTGGTACAAAGCTAAGGAAGTGTGTATACTGAGCTTTGGTCTCTAGCTTTCTAAATATGGTTCTTTTGACGGAACCATCCTCTCTTCTCGTTAGTAGGACGTCGAGGAAGTGTAGAGAGTCGTTGTATTCTCCTTCGTGCATGGTCGGTGAGAGTCCTAACTACTGTGTCACCGACTTACAGTAACTTATGCTGAAAATCTTGTCATCCAGTTGTTAATACTGCATCATCATAACTGTATGATTTAAAATAAACTTATCTAATATGGTTAATTGGTGGATGGTGACTAGCAGTGGAATCCAAGATGCGCATTTTGTCCAGTTTGGGTCTCGTCACTTGGGTGTAACTACATTCCTCATTGAATGATGATGTTCCCACGGAGGCTCGAACCCAGTTAACTTCTAATTACATGCCCAGACATCGTCGAAGCATCTGCACAAGAAGCCAACATGTCAACCTGAAACCGAGCACTGCGGTCCAATCGATCGATGTTGAAATCTAAAATTAAATTATCTAATATGGAAGAAGCAGAAAATGCTTTGGTGTTTTTGAAACGATCAGTGCAGGGTCCGAATCTCAAAGGGGACAGACACCATCACTCACTGCCGAATGTATGTACATCTAGATGATGAGTCCCCAGAAAGGACGAAATGCACAAAATACTTTCACTTTAATGCTTAGATATCATCGAAGCATCCATGCATCCATAGGAGCCGACACAACAGCAGAAGAAGTGGAGCATTTCGTTCCGACATAACCAATTTGCGGGGGCGGGGAGTACAGACTGCTAACTCATTTCACTCTTATTGTTTTGCATTGTGAACTAACTCAAAGTTCTAATACATCTTCACATCATTTTGGTGGTTTCACTCATTATTCCATTCATTCCACATCAACTTCTCATCATGTGATGAATAGACAAAAATAAACAAAATATTTTCTTCTCTAACAGTTGTTGAATGTAGGTAGAAATGTTTATTTTGTTGACCTCTTTGTTTGTCTCTCTCCTTAACCAGACCGTGTCATCATCATGCATTTTCGATTTTTCCAAAACCGTCAACCATGATGAAATTCTTCTCTCTCTCACCTCTGAAGCTGACCAATCAAATTCCCTCATGAGTTAAAACTCAATTGTTTTACATACATGTCAATTGTGATTCTATATGTTGGACCATGTGACTTTTTAGTTTGTATGTATGTGTGTGTGCCTGTTGTGGATATGTGTGTGTTTGGTTGTGGTTGTGGTTGTGGTGTGCACAAATCTATACATATACAGGTTCTTCAGATCACCCATATCATCTTAGTGAAGAGTCTATATAAAAATGTAGCATAAAAATTTATTAACCAATCAAATTTGTTCTTAGTCAAACACCAATCAGAATTCGTAAAACCTTTTAATAATAATAACACAGACTGAGGTCATTATAAAAATAGGATGTGGTGTATTTGTCATTGTGGTGTTGATATATTATGATCATTATTTAAATGTTGATATCGTCTCAGGATATTTCTCACACTATCACAACAAATGGATTCTATTTACTCTTCAGCGAATGCAATTGTCAGTCGAGCACAGCCTAGTTTAGACGGTGGAATTATTACATTTATTCTTAATAATCTTGTACATTTCCCGACATCGGATTCATCGTCTCGTGAGAATTCCACATTGGATTCTCAAGTAACTATTATACATCATATCTTATCAACATATTCACGTACTGGTTATGCACTAGGAATTGTATGCGCTGTATTATGGAGTATTATATTGATTATTGTTGCTTGTTCCACGTGTCGTCGACGTAAACATATTAAAAAGCATTCAGAAACTTTAATATATCTTGCCCCTACAGACAATCATATATTGAATACATCACGACAAACGATTAACACTGGTTCATTGACACATCATTCCTCAAAATCAACATTTTATCGTACACGTGAACGTTTACAATCGAATTGGATATGTTTAGCCACACAATTTGCCCTGTTAACTCTTTTAGCTATTTTATTAGGCACAGCTGTTATCCTTGGATTTACTGCCTCTGGTCAACTGCATACAAATTTAATTACAACCCCAATACATGAAGAGTCTGTAGGACGTTTATTAACTATTGGTGAATTGGCTATTACAAATCCGGATAGAAGACATATCTTTCCACGTCTGTTACGTGGTTTAGCTCAGATAAGAGCATATATTAGTGAATTTGTACCACAGACAAAAATTGATATAGAACCAATTGTTAAAGAATTGATTGAAGCTACAGAAAAAATGCAAGATCGTATGACAAATGAATTCAATGCAATCTTGTTTAATGATATCGGTGTTACAGAAGCTTTTCAGTTGGGTGATATCCTCGGAGGACATGTTGTCACGCTGATCAATAAGTATACAGCAATTGTCGAGTCAAATAAAGAGTTTAAGAATGCATTTGATCGTCTCAAAGTTGAATTCCAGTCATGGTTACGTTTAGTGAATGCAGACAGTCCACAGAATGATTATAATTGTGTTGAGCATTGTAGTGTTCTTCGATCAACCTTTATGAATAATGTCTCTGTTCGACCAGATTCATTTATGCCAGAAATTAATTTTGCTATCGCTTTAAAATTTTTGACTACCGATCGAAATCAAACTGCTGAAAGTATTCAAGCCCAGTTGAATCATGGGAAAGAGTTAGCCAATCAACAATTAGAGAGAACTAAAAGTATGATGGCTGAAAAAATCAATATCCCTGAATCGATAAGAAATATGACCAATAAACAATGGGATCAAATTGGTTCACAATTGTCGGATGTTCTATTGAAAATTGATCACATTTTCATCTTGATAACTCGATCCATTTCACCGAAAGTCTCTTCGGCGTCTAGTCTCTTCTTAACACTGAATTTAATCTTTTGGTTCTCAATTCTATTGATCACAATCGGATTGTTTTGGTTAATTATTCGTTATCATTTTGTACCAACTGAGCTGAGTTTACAAGCACGGAATCGAATACGTCTGGGAGCTAGTGTTGGCTACTTTATTCTAGCCATAAGTATTATACTAGCATGTCTGTTCTACCTGATGGGTGGTTATCTATACACTGAAGGCTGTCGTTATATCAATCCAGAACAGAATATGATCAATGTAACCGATTATGATTCAATTCAACAGAATTATATTCAAAAGACAATGTTTCCAGTTGATGCGCATATCAACGCTTTCATTAATCGTAATTGGCCAGCTATTGTATCAATTGCTAGTCAGCTATCATCAATGCCTGTTCCGCATATACGTAGTCCAATCTATGGGATATTGCATAATTGTCGTGATAATCAAGGCATTTTACAAGCTATGGATAGTATTAAAGATTTTGATATGAAAGCACTGAACGATCCCCAGATGTCTGAAAGATTTGTCAATCTTGGCAAAGAGATTATGATCAATTCGCTGGAGTCGATTAATGTTGATGAAATGTTCCCTAAGGAAACCGATGACAATTTAGCTATGGCATCACGTTTAGACGATTTTATTGTGAATTATGAAGAGGTGCGTTTACAATTACCTAAACATTATTTAAGTATACAATCGCCAACTGATGAAGCTGGCAATTTCACCCTGTGGTCAGTCGAGGATATGTGGAATGCTTGGGAAATGTATTACACTGACATATTGAGTTATCGATTGTCAGTGGAACAAATGAACAAGTTGAATTCAGCTACAGAAAAAGTCAGACGTACTCTAATCCAACTGGATAGTATTATCAAAGATATTGATGAGAATTTAATTGTTCTGTCTAGCCTGAAAAAGAGTGCTCCACTTGTTATGAAACTACAAAACCGGCTAATTGATTTAAAAGCAATTATGAATAATAAAACACATTTAATCAGTCGAGCTGTCCAATTGTTCGATGAAAATATCAAGGCGAAAACACCTCAGGAAGCATTGAATCTAATCCTAGAGTTTGGTCCGAAGATTATGTCCAGAGTTGGTCAATGCCGGCGTGTATACAATGCTGTCGACGATGTGAATAATGCTGTTTGTAATGGATTTGTAGGCGTTATAAACGGGTTCTGGTTTTTAATGGGTTGGGTTACACTAGTCGGCACGCTGATTATCACATTCAGTCTATTATTGTTAATGCATAAACCACAATTTAGTCAGGCAAATGATAAAGCCTATCGACGGAATATTATGAATCGGAAAGCGATTAAATCGAATACAACAACAGCAACCACAACAACAACGACATCAGTTACAGAGAATTGTTGTAGTCATCCTAGTGAACTGGAAGCATTGACTGGTTCACATTCTCCTGTTGTCAAGTCGTCAACTCCTTCAGAAGTATGAAAAAAAGAAAAGAAAGGATGAAACAAACAGATGTCCTGTGTCTGTCTGTATGTGAGTGTCTGGTTTTGAAACTTTGTAAATTCTACGTTTCGTTTTTTGTTATTAATTACTACTGTGTGTATGATTTCAACGTCTTGTAAGTTTTGTTTGATTGGAGTATGTATACAAAAGTATTTCGTTCTTTTTTACCTCATGTTGGTGGTGCATCCCACTCCTCCACTGGGACCTCCTGGCAAACATTTAATTTTTTTTGTTTTATATGCCAAATCTGTAAGCAATCAATCAATCACATTTTGATTAGTTTGATTTTAATATTTTCTACGGTAATTCAATCGAGTTTTTTTTACGAATGCTCCATTCTTCTTGTGCATACTTTTGGTTCTAAGCATCTACAAAGGATGCTGCAAAGGATTAGACAACTTACTAATTGATTAGTAAAGTGAATATACTCTTCTTTTTAGTGTTAATTACGTCTATCCCCCCATTCCCTTTTTTATATTATTTGTTGTTTCACAAAAACACAACTCTTATAGTCAATAAAACGCATTGATTGTGTAATTCACAGGTATTTTTACAGAATACTGTTTTTTGGGATGGTTGTATTTTGTATTGATCTTCGCCCTCCCCTTTGTTTACCACAAATAAATGGAAAGAAAGTGGTCAGGTTGGTTAAGAGGTGAATGAAGACGATTGAGATGCCGCCTTGTATCTATCTGTCTCTTGTAGAATTATATTCTTATCGCCTGTTTAACTTGAGGTGTAGTATTTTGACTGCAGTGTAATATCCGGGTGATGATGTAATCAACTGTTACGTAAATACTATGTCCATATTACCATTATTGTATTATTACTATTATTATTACAACCACTGTGTGCTAGGTATTTTTCCACAAATTTTTTTAGAAATTGAAACTTTTCTCTCATAATGATTTTTCGCTTGCCTTTTCACCACCAAATGTGGTTTTTGATTACCGTTTTTTTCTAAAAAGGAACTTGTTTCTGTGTGTGTGTGTGTGGTTCTTTCTTCCCCTTTGCTTCCCATTTAGTAATATATTTATTAATTTGTTTATTTATGTATAAATGTGGATGATTGACAGAAAGAATATATTATTCAAAAAAACGAAATGAAATCGCTTAATTTTTATTTCATACAAGCTATTGTTTTCATTCTTGTCAGCTGTGTATAGTCAGTCAGTAGGTTATTATTATTATTTTTTTTTTGAACCCCTTCTGCTAGAGTCTTCACCTGGCTCCAAGTCTGCCCACATGCTTTCATCTCCTCTTCACATGACCTCCTCATGCAGTCACCCTTGCACTGACGACCAACTCGCCGCTTCCCTTTCGGCTCCACTCGAGCAATGGCTTGTCTAGTGATGTCACTTGATGGTTTCCTCAGAGTATGGCCACCAATCCATCTCCATTTCTTCCTGCCTATTTGTTTCACAATCGGTTCCTGCTGTGTTGGTTCGCTCATTGCCAGAGATCCCTGTTGCTGATCTTTTCTGGCCGGCCATCTGATCTTGAGTATTAAGCGAAGACAGCTGTTGATGAAGGTCTGTAGTTTGTTTGAGGTGCTCTTTATGACGCGCAGTGCAAGTCTCTGATCCGTATAGTAGCACTGACTGACTTCACATTGGAGTTGAAAATCCGGATCTTATTTTTGATGCTGAATGCTGTTGACCTCCACACAGACTTGAGAGTAGTGAAAGCTTGTCTTGCTTTTCCGATTCTTGCTTTGATATCCTCGTCAGTTCCGCCTGTAGTTGAAACGATGCTTCCCAGGTAGGTAGGTAAAAGAGGTTGTTTCTTTCAGGTTCCTTCCATTTATGCTGATCGTTGTCTGTTGTTGTTGTTCTTGTCCAGGAATCTTCATCACCTCTGTTTTCTCTATGTTCACCTGAAGAGTCCTATCTTTGATGCTTCTTCTGCCAACTTGTTGCTTTTCGCTTGCATATCTTCCAGTTTGTGGGAAATCAGACATATATCACTCGGTGAAGTCCAGATCCTCCAAGTTTTTTGTGTGAGTCCATTTTATGCCTGTTTCCTCATTCCCAGCTGTCTGTCTGTCGCATTATCCAATCTACTGCAATCAGGAAAATCATTGGCGATAGTAGGCAGCCAGCTTGTCTTACTCCTGTCCTCACTTCGAAGGATTCCGTAAGTTTCCCGTTGTGGATTACTTGACATGCAGCATTGTCATGTATACTACCACCAGGCTATCAAGCGTATTTATTTTGATTGGACCCTCCTGAGTTTCGAACCCGCGTCACCATCCAGTACCGCGTGCAGTCAGAGACGTTACCACTGAGCAGCTATTCAGGCTTGCGGGCTTGACCACCTCCTGTAGGACTGTATTGGATATTTTTTTGATTGGACACTAGTCAGTGATGTGTTTCTAGACCTTTGTTTGGTGCAGACACCATTCTAGGTAACTCGCCATCACGGTGCACATTGCTGACTGATGAGTGTCAACTAGCCCGGAACGTAGGTCAGGCAAGGCTTCCTGTCGATTGCCTGGTGATACCAGATTACTCGGTTGATCAGATTGAAGTAAGTGGAACGGAATTCGAATCCTGGGGAAGGACATTAGCCGAAAGAATGATATGATGATGAGTGCTTAAGTCAGCGAATTATACATCACCGCGCTTTTGTCAATTAATTCATTACCAATTTGAAACTTTTTCTCAATTAATTTCTTTGAAATGAGTTTTGTAGGTATTTGGATAACATTTCAGTGTAGATCTGGTCACTAATCAATATTAATTAGGAAACTATTCAGCTGTAGTACCTTAGTTTGACACTCTTCAGTGATGCACACCCGTGACCTCATCAGGTCATGAGGCCAGGTATATGACCATTCCAACCACTTAAGTCAGAATTCAATGACCCCTGAATATTTTGTCAATTTGTAATAGAGCTCTACCATTGACCATTGAGTTCCTGCCTAAGTAAATGAATGGCTAGCGGACTACTGTCAAAACCTAAAGGTCCAGGATTCGATCTTTGGTGGAGTCATGGATGTGATTTCTGAAGAGCCCCGAAATAGTAGGAAACAACTGTCCAGTTCTCCCTAGTTTTCAAGGATTTTCTAATTAGTAGTAACTGATTGAAACTATTTAAGTGATACGGGGTTGTGACTGGTCTTTATGTGTGTGTTTGTGTGTGTGTAAAATTATTGATTTCTGTTACCTTACAAACTGGTTAAAAGAGCCTAGTCGTTTATGCAGTCACATAATTGTCAGCATTTGTAATCGACAAGTGATGAGCTGTATTCTACCGATCAGTGGATCACGCGTTCCAATCTCACTCAGTCTACCGAGATTTGGGCAGCCAAGAAGTATCAATAGACCTCACACAGAAGGTAATTGCACTCAATTAATTGTCGAGTAAGGTAAAGGTCTGTCTGTCTGTTTTCGACATAGAACTTTGCACATATGTACAGCAGTTCAAGTCGCCACACTCGCTCCTTGTAGCACACAAATCAAGAGAAGAAATGCATAATATAGACAGTAAACAGAGGTGTGAGACAAAGGAATAGTAATAACGAAGAACAAAACAGTTTCATTGGAAATCATAAGTCACAAAGAGTGGACGCATCTGCGCTAGGCATTGAGAACGATTTTGAGGCATGTCACCAATTGTTTCCAACCATTGGTTTTTTAACCGTCCGGGGGACCCCAACCAGAAAGTCTACACCTTCCTACGTGGCCTAGACTAACTGTTGTAGATTTCATTGACTGGTGCCATGTTTTGGTTTGACCGCCGCTAGCTCTTTTCCAGCCTGACCCTATGTCAGCTAACATTGTCCTAACCATCTCAGTCGATGTAATTTCACAGCCTCGTCGATTGATTTCCCCTCCTTACCTAGCACTCGACGCCTAACCTCAATATTGCTCACCTTATTATACCACTTCACACGGGAGATAGAACGCAGACACCTATGATCAAAGACAGCTAATCTTTTCATGTCTTCCACTCTCAATGGCCAGGTCTCCCAGCCATAAGGAGGACGGAGCGGACTGCTGAGCAGTACACCCACCCTTTGGTCGATAGCCAGCTGGATATCACGTCTACGCCAGAGACGGCGTAAACTGGCATATGCGAAACAAGCCCTCTGTATCCGTGCTGAGATTTCGTCAGAGATCAACCCGTTGGCACTGGCTGATGGTACTTCCCAAATAAGTGAAGCGGTCAACGTGCTCTACCACTTCACTTCCTATTTCTAATCTAGGAGTCGGTGTATTCCAATCCTGTAACATCATCTTGCATTTGGCGGGAGCGAATCGCATGCCAAACATTCGTAGATTGGTCAAGGCGTTAGGTATTTTGTTCAAATCAACTTTATGGCGTATAACTAAAAAAAAGTAGCTTGACTTCCTCATCTTCTTTCACCGTGAAATTTCTATCATTCTGAAAACAAACCAAAGCCCGAACGATTTCCTAGGTGTATAGGTGAGGTCAGTTATGTGGCAAAAAGAAAAAAATAGACAGAAGAGACAATATCGAATTATTTTTCCCTCGGATAAATTGTTCCATTTTTATTCGTCTATGCCTATGCATACATTATACGTTATCTTAATCTTAACAGTGTAATATGAGATTTTTTCTTGCATAATTTACACGTAGGACTGTAAAGCAGTTAGCTGGAAAAAAAATAGCAACACAACACAGTTTTCTCTGTTATCCATCTAGGTATATTTTTGTATTTATAAATATGCATGCATGTATGCTTAATTCTATAAAATACATTCATATCACATATGGTTTATGCTTAGTAATTTTCAGGATTTCATCATGAACTGAAATCGGTTAGAGAACCATTGGAAAACCAGCTGGGAGTAATGGACAGATAGCTTTTTGTCAGTCTAGTATGTAACAGACTCGTCAGCAGTACGCACCCACTAACATGTTAAGAACTCGGGAGCTTCCAGTTACAAGGCAAGTGATCTTGTAGACCATCAAGCCACTGGGACCCGATATTAGAGTGACTAGCACTAGCGAATGTCATCGCTGTACGAGTATGTGTCCTCACACCCAGCCTTCTGTGTTCACTGGTCACGAATTCCCACTAGAACCCAGGTAACTATCTGAATAGGACCAGTCACTAGCGAGTATCCGGTTGGTATTCAAATATTGGTATACAGGGAATTAACTGGTTGGAGGATTTCATCATGATCTGATATCGGTTAGGCAACTAGCTGGGTGTACTGGACAACCAGTTGTTTCGTCAGCCTAGTTTGGGACCGACTCTTCACCAGTACGCACCCACCGATAAGGCGTTCGAACCCAGGACCTTCTGGTTACAAGGCGGGTTCGAAACCCGGTGGTAGGTGTGTGTGGCTGAAGAGCCAGTCTCAAACTAGGCTGACGAAACAGCTATCTGTCCATTACTTCCTGATGGTTTTCCAGTGGTTCTCTTACCGATTTCATTTCATGATGAAATCCTGTAACCAATCCAGTCAGATCCCTGCAAACTAAAAACTTGAATAAATGCTTACTGTTGAATTAAGTATAATTTCATATGACCTTCAAATTTTTCTAGGTCAAAAGGTCAGATAAAAATCTAAGGCTTAAGTTGACACTCCTTCAGTGTTCTCTAAGCTTTAGTCATCTTTATTCTAGGCGTGTCTAGTTAAACAAGCGTAAGCAGTTCAGTTGCATTTAACTTCTAAATAAAGTCAGCTATATCAGACACATATAGACATATAGATATATTGATCCTTCGAATAGTATGTGACAATTGGCAGGGGACATTGTAGGTAGGCATATGGCGTGACCTAGATGACCTGAAATCAAAGTTGCAAGGTCACGCCATATAGAAATTTTATAGTCTTTGTATTTTTTTTGGCAAAGTTAACTCAATTATTGATTTGGTCTATGAGGTCTGGTTATTTGTTATACAAAGAGATCAGGGCGTGAGTCAATATCATGTAGCTTATCCATAGTGCTAAACTAAAGTTTATCAGTCAAGTTTGTGGTGTTGTCAGAAAACTAGTTAACTCGCTGTCAACGGTGAACTTTGAAATGATGTTGGATGGTTGGAGGTAATTGTCACGGCGGCACGATATCAGGTTTCATTCTTATAGGGACTTACCAGTGATTTGAACTGGTGTGACTGATAGAAT